TAGACATTGTCTTTAGTTATGTTGCATCATGATTTTGAAATGTCTTAGTCTAAATTCATTTAAGAATTTATTCAGATTGAGTCACATTACTGTAATTACTATAAGTCTTCCCAAAATGTTGACTCAGAGCCTGAAAGAGAAAAAAGGAAATGATTGATCCAGTACGTAATATGTGTATTTCTGGGATGGACAGGTCGATTCGAGTTTGGGCATGTAATTAGATAGTTAGATCTGCTCCGTTAGAATCTGGGCTGTGCTTTCTCTACCCCAGATTTTTTTTCCGAATTTTTGTTTCTTAAATGTGATTTATGAAGAAGTGAGTTACAGAACTAAGAGTAAACAAAGGTGTGTAACATTGCAAACGTAAAGTAACACTTGCTATATTTAATATTAAACTTCTGTAGTTTGAACATAAAAGCCGTTTTCATTTTCTGTTTCAAGATACTCTTTTGGCAGCTTGCATAATCACAGTAAAGACTTCATGACCCGGGACTCAGTGGCTGCTGCTATGAGGTCGGCATCTAAATTCCACGAACTGTGAGGGACAGGAATAACAAGCACAAGGTCAGGTTTTCCATTCCCGACCTGCAGCATGAATGGGCTGTTTCATGGAGACTTTTCTCCGCACGGTGGAGAGAAACCACCGGAAGGAGGGGTGAGGGTGACGAGGGAGTACTCTGCCTGGCCACGTGGCCCTTAGCCAGAGCACCAGGTTCCACAGTGTTGACGTTGACAAGAGTGCCCACAGTAGCACTTAATTCTGTTTTGACAACACACTTTTCAGAGATCCACATTATATAAGGCTGTAGAAGTAAAGTTCATTAAAGATGTCTTAGTTATCTAATGCTGCTATAACAGAAATACACAGATGAGTGGCTTTAACAAACAGAAATTTATTTTCTCACAGTTTTGGAAGCTAGAAGTCTGAATTCATGATGCCAACTTTAGGGGAGGATTTTCTCTCTCTGCTCTGGAGGAAGGCCCTTGTCTCTTTTGAATGTCTACTCCTGGGTGATCTTCATATGGCGTGGCATCTCTCTTTCTCCATCTCTGCTCTGCTCACTTGTTTAATCTCTTTTATATCTCATAAGAGATGACTCAAAATACACCCTACACTAATCCTGCCTTATTAACATAACAAAGGCAACCCATTCCCAAATGAGATTATAACCACAGGCATAAAACCAAAAACTAAACTCGTTGCTGTCAAGTCATTTCCAACTCATAGCGACCCTATAAGGCAGAGTGTAACTGTCCCATAGGGTTTCCAAGGCTGTAGTATTTTACGGAAACAGACTTTTTTCCCACAGAGCACTGGTGGGCTCGAATTACTGACCTTTCAACCACTGTGCCCTCAGGGCTAGAGGCACAGGCGTTTGTCTTAGGTGCTGTCGAGTCGGTTCCAACTCACAGCAACCCTGTGTACAACAAAACAAAACACTGCCTGGTCCTGTGCCATATACACAGTCATTGTTATGTTTGAGCCCATGGTTATAGCCACTGTGTCAGTCCATCTTGTTGAGGGTCTTCCTCTTTTTCACTTATCCTCTACTTTACCAAGCACGATGTCCTTCTCCAGGGACTGATCCCTCCTGATAACATGTCCAAAGTATGTGAGACGTAATCTTGCCATCCTTGCTTATAAGGAGCATTTTGGTTGTACTTCTTCCAAAACAGATTTGTTCATTCTTTCGCACTGCATAGTATATTCAGTATTGTTCGCCACACCACAATTCAAAGGCATCAATTCTTTTTCAGTCTTCCTTATTCACTATCCAGCTTTTGCATGCATATGAGACGATTGAAAACACCGTGGCTTGGGTCAGGAGCACCTTTAGTCTTCAAGGTGACATCTTTGCTTTTTAACACTTTAAAGAGATCTTTTGCAGCAGATTTGCCCAGTGCAATGAGTCGCTTGATTTCTTGACTGCCGCTTCCATGGGTGTTGATTGTGGATCCAGG